CTCCCCCCCCCCCCCCCTCCGATCCCGATTCGTCACGGGGTCCGCGACGCCGAGAAAATCGGCGGGAGGTAGGGGCACGCGACGATAACCTATTAAGAAATTAAATGCTCCAATTGCCGCCGCTCGGCGGCCTCACCCGCGTCGTAATAACACGCCCGCGCGATCGTCTTTCTCGATCCTCTCGATCGTTTCTTTCGACACCTATCGCGAACCGCCGCGCCGAACGCGAATCACGCGAGGCACGGTGGTTCTGGGGTTTCCGTGCGAAAAACGGAGCAAAACGCGTGACAAAGATTATACAGTCGCCCGCAAAAGTGTTCACGCAACTATTAACCCTTTGCAGTCGAAGCCGTTTTAACTGTAAATCTAAGATCATTTAGAAAAATATACTGTTACTATATTATATTATTATTTATATTAAATATAAAGAAGACTTATAGTAATATATATACCATGTAATATATAGTAATAAATATATATAACTAGTATATACTAGTTATATACTAGTTATATATAGTCTTCTGACTTATAGTACATTAATTTTACAAGATAAACCGCATTTTACGCGTGCGAAATTGAGTCTCGTGTTTCGTACGACGGTTACGCTTTCCGTAATTTTTAAAATCTCAACTTTGATAATATAACAATTATCTTAGAACGTGATATAACAATTTTAGCGGTGCCTCGGAGTCATCGCTCGAGTGCAAAGGGTTAAAACGCAATAACTATTTTAGAAACTGAACTAAATGGCTTGAATTTTTCTTTTTTTAGATGACAGAGCGACTACTAGACGACGACTGAAACGCCTTTTTTCTTTAATTTTGCTATTACTTGGAACGACGAAAACATTAAAATCTATTAAAAGTCTTTTAAGCTTTCTTTTTTATCCAAGCCTATAACGAAAATTTAAAAAATGACTTTTGTTGCGTCGTCGCACAGTGGTCAGTTTTCATATAAAAAGAAGAATACAGTCAGTTTTGAGAAACATCACCATAATGCATAATTTATTCTCTGATAATCGATTAACCGTGCGGCTTATTATTTTCTACGATCTTTTTTTACCATTTGTTTACCTTTTTACCATTTCGAACACGGATAAACACGGCCATCTCCAAATCATCCTAAATTTACATCATCGTTTATAATCACAGTAAATTCTCCCTAATCGACGCTCAGACCTTGCACGAGAATGGACAATTCTGGGAGTAGGAGACACGATTATTCGTGGCCCGCCGCTCGTTTTCATAATTATTGACAATCGACGAGTACAAAAACTAGCCTGTCTCCTATATAAAACGACTAAAAAACGTTCACCTACGTAAAACGGCTTACAAACGACCATAAAAAATTGTGCATTGGTGCCCAAATCGTCCATTTGTGGTCACAGGCCGAGAGACAATTGAGGAGAATTTACTGTAATTACATACGAATCGTTGCACAACAGAATCGTTCGATGCAAAGAAATCATTGAGAATATTAATTTATTTGTTTTCCATTAGCCTTCAATTCGGTTGCGTAATTCTGGCTCTCTCTCTCTCTCTCTCTCTCTCTCTCTCTCTCTCGCTCGCTCGCCCTGTGTGTATGTATGTCGGGCATTCGAAGACCGTACAGTCATCGAAAAGGAAACGAATCTCTTCCGGTGGCGAAACGATCCTGCAACGATAGGCAGATCGAAGATTTCCCGATTATCCGTTCGCTTTCTCTCGATCGTTCCACGCCGCGTGGCGGCTCGCCGGCGAATGGCTCGCAGATCGTTCTTGCGAATTTAACGAAGAATATAGAAGTTTCTGCGTGGCTGTTTCTTCTTTTTTTCTATTTATTATTTTTGGGGAGAGAGAGAGAGAGAAAGAAAGAAAAAAAGAGAGAGAAAGAAAAAGTAGAGAGAATGGAAAAAGAGGGAGATAAAGAAAAAGAGAGAGAAAGAAACAAGAGAAAGAAAAAGAAAAAGAGAGAGAAAGAAAGATAAAGGGAAAGACAATAGGGAGAAAATAACAAAGGGAGAAAATAGAGAGAGAGAGAGAGAGAGAGAGCAAGAGAGAGAGAGCTAGAGAGAGAGACGAGGAGAGCGGAAAGAGAGCAAAGAGAGAGAGAGCGAGTGAGAGAGCGAGAGAGAGACGAGAAGAGCGGAAAGAGAGCGAGAACTAGAGAGAGAGCACGAGAGAGCGGGAGAGCGAGAGAGAGAGCAATAGAGAGCGAAAGAGAGCTAGAGGGAGAGTAGATAGAGGTAGAGAGCGAGTGAGAGAGCGAGAGAGTGAGAGAGAGACAAGGAGAGCGGCAAAAGAGCAAAAGAGCTAGAGAGAGAAAGCGAGAGAGAGTAAGAGAGCTATTGAGAGAGAGAGAGAGAGAGAGAGAGAGAGAGAGAGAGGGAGAGAGGAAGAAAGGAAAAGAGAGAGAAAAAGACAAAGAGAAAGAAAAAAAAAGAAAGAGAAAGAGAAAGAAATAGTGAGAGTAAAAAATAGAAAGAGCAAGAGAGCTGGAGAGAGCGCGAGAGTGGGAGTGCGAGAGGGAGAGCGATAGAGTGCGAGAGAGAGCTAGAGAGACAGTGGAAGAGAGAGAGAGAGAGAGAGAGAGAGAGAGAGAGCGGGAGAGCGAGAGAGAGAGCACGAGAGAACGGGAGAGCGATAGAGAGCGAGAGAGCGCTAGAGAGAGAGAGAGAAAGACAGTGGAAGAGAGAGAGAGAGAGAGAGAGCGAGTGAGAGAGCACGAGAGAGCGGGAGAGCGCGAGGGAGAGAGCAATAGAGAGCGAAAGAGAGCTAGAGAGAGAGAGAGAGTAGATAGAGGAAGAGAGCGAGTGAGAGAGCGAGAGAGAGACGAGAAGAGCGGAAAGAGAGCGAGAGCTAGAGCTGTCTCTTATACACATCTAGATGTGTATAAGAGACAGGAGGAAGAGAGCGAGTGAGAGAGCGAGAGAGAGACGAGAAGAGCGGAAAGAGAGCGAGAGCTAGAGAGAGAGCACGAGAGAGTAAGAGAGCTATTGAGAGAGAGAGAGAGAGAGAGAGAGGGGTAGGGAGAGGAAGAAAGGAAAAGAGAGAGAAAAAGACAAAGAGAAAGAAATAGTGAGAGTAAAAACATAGAAAAAGAGAGAAAGAAAGATAAACAGAGACAGAAAGAAAAAGAAGAGCGCGAAAGAGAGCAAGAGAGCTGGAGAGAGAGAGAGAGAGAGAGAGAGAGAGCGGGAGAACGGGAGAGCGAGAGAGACAGCGGGAGAGCGAGAGAGAGCTAAAGAGAGAGAGAGACAGTAGAAGAGAAAGAGAGCGAGAGAGTGCAAGGAGCTATTGTGAGAGAGAGAGAGAGAGAGAGAGAGAAAGGAAAAGAGAGAGAGAAAAAATACAAAGAGATAGAAAGAGAAAGAAATAGTGAGAGAGGAAGAAAGATAAAGAGAGAGATCAGATCGAAGATTTCCCGATTATCCGTTCGCTTTCTCTCGATCGTTCGGCGGGAACAACATTCTCCGCCGCGCGGGAAGCAGATCTTTTCACCGCAGATTAGATATTTCGCAGTTACGCGATACCGGCTCCCCCTGATCCCGTTTTCGCCGCTGTAACGTCGACCTGTTGCACGCCGGCAGAATTTCAAGTTCTTTCGTTAGCCGAAGGCGACTCGGACGGACCATTTGCCGCGCCAGAAGTATACTTCGCCGAATCACCCTGTTTCTTGTCCGCTAACCGTTCGGCCGCCGAGGAGCCCGAAAAACCGACGCCGGATCGAACCCTCGTCGAAATTTCTCTCGCAATAAAAACACATGTAATCCGAAGCCCCTCGGACATAGCCGACGATCGCCGGTAGGGTAAGTGCGGGCGTTACTGCGAACGGCCCAAATACTGCGGTGTATTATAAAAGTAGCAAAATCTGATATTGTATAATATTATAAGCAATATCCTAAAAATGAATCTTATAATTTTGTATGTATTATATTTCAATATTGATAATTTGTGATATTTAAGTCACAGCGAGATCGCAGTTTAAATTCATTTGTTGATCGTTCATTGTTTCGCACAGTGAAAATAAGAGTATAAATGCAAAGCTATTAATTATAATATTATAAAAAGCCTGTTGAAATTTTAGCCTCGAACAAAAATTAATCTATAGTTTACTTAGTACTAAGATACTAAGATATCGGTTTACATTTTCGTCGGTTCCGTCAGCGGGCAACGACGGTGATGTAAACTGTATATAATAGATACCGCGATACATCATCACCGGTACCATTAGATACACATCGTGCCCTGACTGTTTGGGGATCCCAGCGTCACGTATACAACGTGAAACGCGACAAATAAACGTCTCTGATTGGTGGATAAGACGAACCCAAGAAGGGTATAAAAGAAGCGTTTTTTCTTACCGGACTCTCAGTAGAGTTTGGTCGCTCGATCGTTTTCGCCCATATACCTTCTCTCAATAAAGGAATAAAATAAAGTCTTTTTAAGAAAAGAATTAGAATCATATTCATTTCCATTCCATAATCCCAACAAAGCCATTATATAATAATTTATATTTAATTTCTTTATGACGGAGAACGTATTATCGCCGTGTTACAATCGTTTTATAATAAGTAAATGCAATTTTTCGGAGCACGAAACGATGGAATTAACAAAACTGTCTTGCACAGAAACGCTGGAAATAAGAATATAAATACAAAGCTATTAATTAACTTTTATATTTCATTTCTATGTGATGGAGAACATATCATCGCCGTGTTACAATCGTTTTATAATAAGTAAATGCAATTTTTTGGAGCACGAAACGATGGAATTAACAAAACTGTCTTGCACAGAAACGCTGGAAATAAGAATATAAATACAAAGCCATTAATTAACTTTTATATTTAATTTCCTTATAATAAAGGACATATTATTGCCATATTAGTATCGTTTTATACGATTAGTCG